CAGGGTGCTGGCAGGAATCCGGTGATCGGTTTTAGGTGCAATGAATTCATCAGTTTTAGTGCCTGGCAGAATTATCTTGGCTCCTAGGTTTGTTTTTGGAAGAATTATTCATGTGCCATTTTCAAGAGCAAATCCTGAGAGAACACGATGGAGAACTGTTTGGGGAAAAACACTCTTCCCCCGCTAAAGACGAGTTTCTGTCCCCTGTCAGCCGAACAGGCACCCAGAGCCCCGTGGGTGGTGGAAGCCCCGTCTCGCCCATGCTGTTGTTGCCGCTTGGTGCGGGCTTGCTGGATGCTATGGGGACGACGTACTGAGCTGGCGCTCCGTGCCAGCCTGGCAGGGAAGGTTTCGCTAGTGCTGTGGTGATCCAAGGTGGTGTGCATTGCTCTGTCTCCGATCGCTCAGCCCTCTTCACAGCGACCACAGCCCTCCCACCAGCCCCATCGTCTCCTCGGTACTGCCCTCAACTTTCCATCCCACAGACACTAGTGACTCTGATGAGAGCTCTCTGATCAATAAAAGCTGTCTTCTTGGCCAAATGCTGGTCGGAGCTGGGCTCAGGAGAAGAGAAGTAGCGAAAACCCGTACACCCACTGTGTTCCCGCAGCGGCGTGTCGAGGGCTAGCTGATGTCCTGGGTTCAGCTGGAATAGAGTTAATTTTCACAAGAAGCTGGTTGGGCTGACCCAAACAGCCAATCAAGTGGGATATTCTAGACCGTGTGATGCCATGCTCAGTATTTAAGTGGGGAGCTAGCTGAAGGAGGGGCTTTTGCTACTCAGGAGCAAGCTGAGCATTGGAGTGGTGAGAACACTGCATGTTGTCTATGCTTCTTATCAGTATTATTGGTTGTTGTTTTCTTCTCCCTTTGCCAGTCTGTTAAACTGTTCTCATCCCAATCCACGAGTTTTTGCCTTTTTTCCTTCTGATTCTTCTCCCTGTCCCCCCGGGGAGGGGGAAGGAGTAAGAGAGTAACTGCGGGCTGCTTTTGTAGCGAATTGAGACAAAACCACAACAGCTTAGCACAGACATAGATACAGAAACCTCTCTGTATTTCCTGAACAATATAAAAAATTTATTTAAACAGACACCTGTCGGAACACATCGTGGCCAGCATGACGAATGACCCTCCCCCAGCCCCTAATGGGGGCCCTCTCCCCACCGGACCCGGGCCCTGCTGTCACCCTGCACCCTGCTCTCGCACAACCGTTAGCTGTGAGCTTTGGAGCATGTTGGTACAAACAATGGCTGTGTGCTTTGTCCTAGTGTTGACAGCCTTGCTGTATTGTGGAAGCTACCTTGTAGAGACGATGAGGGAATGCATCTCCCTCTTTCTACCTGGGATTTCTGTGGATAGTTTTATTAGGCAGGCTCCCGAAGTCTGTGTTCACCCTCACGTGAGCTGTCTAATGCTTCTAGTTAATACTGTTGGCATATTATGGGTTTTGTGGAATGTGGTCTCATCCTGGTATAAGAGAAAACAGATTCTGGGTGAGGCAATACTGAAACGTGCCCTAAAACAGCCGGTCCCTGAGTGGCAGGGGGTGTGGGAGGGGCTGGGGCAGTTCCGACGAAGGGTAATTCCCATAGCCTGAGATTTTACCCCTGAACAGGCAAACAACCTGGGCAAACTTACACACCACCTGATAGAAGGGTACCTTATTTACCTCAATGAAAACCAGCAGCTTCTAGCACTGTACTGGGGTCTGGCCTGTGCCTATCAAGCCACAGCTCAGTACTCTCAGAAGACTGTGGCTGAGGCAGGGACCCAGCCTGCATCTGAGGACAGTAGCGTTGAGGTAGGGACCCAAACAACAACAACTACAGTAATTGCCCCACTAGTGAAAAACAAAAAACAGGGGACAAGGAGAGCAATGGGTCCATATCCTCGATTAGTAAGAGAGGAGGAAGAAAAGGAAAGATTTGATCAAGAAGCTGGTCCTTCAACAAGAGAACTGGAGGAAGGAGTCAGAGAGCTCAGACAGGAAGAGGAAATTACTCTGTCCTTGACCTCAGCAGAACTTCAAGACATGCAAAAAGACTATAGCTGCCAGCCAGGTGAGCGTATTGCTGCCTGGCTGCTCCCATGCTGGGATAAGGGGGCTGATAGTCAGCAGCTGGAAGGGAAAGAAGCCCAACAGCTGGGATTCCTTGCTAGAAACTGGGAAATTGAGAGAGGACTTGGAAAAGAGGCAGCGATTTGCAGTCTCTGGAGACAGCTCCTCTGAAGTGTGAGGGCAAGATACCCATTCAAGGAAATCCATCCCCAGAAAAATGGACTACTGCAGATGAAGGCATCCAATACCTGAGAGAATTAGCAGTGCTAGAAGTCATCTACAGTGATCTTGATGATGATGAGGACTCCAAAGAACCACGGGATGTCCTCTGTACACAGGCCATGTGGCAGAAGGTGATTCAAGGTGCCCCAGCATCATATTCTTACAGCTTAGCAGCAATGTATTGCCCAGATATGGATACACCAACTGTGGAGAGTGTCTTCTTGGCTACAAAACTTTGAAGAAAATCTCTGCATCTCCTTATCCCTACAGGACAGAGTCTCGGGTGTCAGGGATGCCCCAAGAAATTGTTCCTCTTCTGGCCCGGTCAGAGGAAAAGGGAGCCCCAGACACATGCCGCGTGGTGCACTCTGGTTTGTTCTGCGTCACCAGGGGAGGATATGAGGAGGTGGGATGGTGAACCCACCTTTAAGCTGGAAGCCTATGTACACGAACTGAGAGGGAAGACAGCTGTTAAGAAAGGGCCACCCAAGAAGGCTGTCAGTGTAGTTGCTGCTGAGACACAAGAAGGCGGTCAGTGATCTCCCAGATGCAGAAGAACTGAAATCACCTCCCTTGATCCTGGTGAGGGGACTTCTGGTCTGCCACCGCAAGGGTCAGACAGTGAATATTCTGACCAGGAACAAGAATAGAGGGTCCCTGCCTTCAGCCAGGAGGAGGAAAGGGATGACCGTGTGTACTGAACTCTGTGGATTCGATGGCCTGGCACATCAGACCCACAGAATTATAAGGCTTTGGTAGACACTGGTGCACAGTGTACGCTGATACCATCAGGGTATAGGGGCACAGAACCTATCTGGATCTCTGGAGTGACGGGGGATGACAAGAATTGCCTGTACTGGAGGCTGAGGTGAGCTTGACAGAGGACAAGTGGGAAAAGCACCCCATCATGACCGGCCCAGAGGCCCCTTCTATTCTTGGCATAGATTGCCTCAGGAGAAGATACTTCAAGGATCCAAAGGGGTACTGATGGGTGTTTGGTGTGGCCACTGAGAACACAGGCAAGATCAAACAGCTCTCTACCCTTCCTGGCCTCTCAGAAGATCCCTTTGTTGTGGGATTGCTGTGAATTGAAGAACAGCAGGTTCCAAATGCTACCAGGATGATGCACCGGTGGCAATATCGCACAAACTGAGTCTCCTTGGCCCCCATTCATGAGTTGATTCATCAACTGGAGACCCAAGGAGTAATCAGCAAGACTCAGTCACCTTTTAATAGCCCTATATGGCCAGTGCAAAAGTCTGATAGAGGGTGGAGGTTAACAGTAGACTATTGCGGCCTGAACGAAGTGACCAGTGAGTGCTGCTGTACCAGGCATGTTAGAGCTCCAGTATGAACTGGAGTCCAAGGCAGCCAAGTGGTATGCTACAACTAACATTGCCAATGCATTCTTCTCCATCCCTTTGGCAGCAGAGTGCAGGCCACAGCTTGCTTTCACCTGGAGGGGCGTCCGGTACACCTGGAATCAATTGCCCCAGGGGTGGAAACACAGTCCCACCATTTGCCATGGGCTGATCCAGACCGCACTGGAAAAGGGTGAAGCTCCAGAACATCTACAGTACATCTATGACATCATTGTGTGGGGTGACACAGCAGAGGAAGTTTTTGAG